TCCTCTCGGCCTCCCACCTCCCTCCTTGCTCGCCGGCCAATTCGCTAGTCTGTGACCCTATCTAGCTTCTCGTTGGAGCGGATTTCGCCGCCTCGCCGCTGACGGAAAAGTTTGAGTTTTCTGTCGGCGCCTCGAGGGCCGTCTCCGGGCTCCGGGGCCGTCGATCCAACAGAGCACGGCCCGGGCCCCGAAGCTCTGGCCCGCGGGGGGGCGGTCGAGAGGCCCGGGTTCCCTCCCGCGCTCGGCGAGAAGCAGGCGGCGGGTGCCTGGGGAGTTGCTTTTGGGGTCCGACCGGCAGAGGGGGAAAACCTTACAGTCGGGCCGGGGTAGAAGTCGAAAAAGAAAGACCGCCGTAAGCATAAACTTTTGGCGCTCCGCGCGGATTTTCGGGATCCTCGCTTTGGCTCCCCTGGCGACGCCTGGAGCGCTGCCCCTGGCGCGCTCCGCTCGCCAGGGAGGAGGGTCCAGCGCGAATCCAAGAAGTCCAAGCGGAGCGGGAAGAGTTTATGTTTATGTATTTTCTTCGAGAGGTAGAAGGTGACTGTTTTCTTGATGATTGTTCTGCCGATCGGCGCGGGCCGTCGCACCCCCCCCCTCCCCCCACCCCCCCACCATGGAGTAGATCTTGGCTGTTCTTGGGGTCCGTTTCAAGCAGGCGGAGTCTCCCCCATAGGACGCGCTGTTGCAAACAGTCGCGCTAAGTTGAGATTCGGAGCCAGACCCCCCCCCCACCCCCCCTTCCGCCCAATGTCGAGACGCCGAATAAGAAAACGTTCACAAGATCAAGGTCGGTTCGGGGAGGGTGTCCTAAGGTGCTTCGTGTTTGTCGGATGCTCTTGTGCATCCTGGGGAGGGCACCTCTGGATGTACCGTGTGTTTTGGCCGGCGGAGGGTCTCATGTTTTTGAGGGATGTTCTTCTGGCCCACGTCCGACTGTACCGACGCCGATCTCCTTTTCTCGATGTGCTTATTGCTGTGCGTGCGCCTGCACCCGAGGGGCGACGCGCGCGCCGAGAAATCTTATTGTATGCGCGCTCGGTGGTGGTCGTTTTCTGGCCATACCGCCTGGGTAGCGATATGATAAGATGTATTTGCTGCATGTTCGGTTCTGACGTGCGCCGCACGTCGCACGCAGGCAGCCCCCCGGCCTGCGTGAAGGCGAACCCGCTGCGGAGGATTATCCAACAACTTCCTTTTGGTTTCAGCGCCGCCAGCCTCTGCATCTCGTTGTCTTGTCCTCCCCCTCCTCCTTCTCCTCCTCCTCCTCCTCCTCCCTCCTTCTCCTCCTTCTCCTCCTCCTCCTCCTCCTCCCTCCTCCTCCTCCTCCTCCTCCTCCTCCTCCTCCTCCTCCTCCTCCTCCTCCTCCTCCTCCTCCTCCTCCTCCTCCTCCTCCTCACCCTCCTCCCCGTGGCTTGTGCGCGGCCTCGCGCCCTGGCCGGGCGGAAGAGTGGCCCCGCGACGCCGCGGGGGACGTCCCGCCGCCAGGCGCCTCGCCAGGGCGGCCGTTCGCCTCGCCCACCCCTCGCCGCCCTCGTCCTCCTCCCTCCTCGGCCCCCCCGGGGCTCGCGGGCGGTCTCGCGTCTTGGCCTGGCGCTCGCACGCCGCCGCGCCTTCCTTGACGACGCCCCCGCCGCCTGGACGCCTCGCGGGCGGCGCCGGCTGCCGGTGCGCGCGCGGCGTCGAACGGTGCGCGTGCACGGCTTCGCTTCGGGGCCTGGGCCTCGCGCCGGCGCCATGGCTCCCAGGTGGTGGCGTCCGCTCTCCCCCGTTTGTTTTTCCTTGTCTCTCTCTCTCTCTCTCTCTCTTGTCCACTCCTTCTCCTCCTCCTCCTCCTCCTTCTCCTCCTCCTCTTCCTCCTCCTCCTCCTGCTCCTCCTCCTCCTCCTCCTCCTCCTCCTCCTCCTCCTCCTTCTCCCTCCTCCTCCTCCTCCTCCTCCTCCTCCTCCTCCTCCTCCTCCTCCTCCTCTGTCCTCCTTCCTCGCTCTCTCTCTCTCTCCTCCTCTCGTCCTGGTTTTCCCTTCCTCCTCCTCTCTCTCTGTCTCTCGTCCTCCCGGGGGTCCCGAGAGGCTCAGGCTGCGAAGGCCCCGCCTGCTTTGTGATTGGTGCCGCGACGCGTGGCGCTGCTCCCGCTCCTCCGCCTCGTCCTCCTCCTCGCCTCTCCGCCCGCCCGCATCCTTCGGCGACCACAAAGGGTACGGTCACGCCGGGGTGTGGTTTGCGATCGGCGCCGCTGGGGCCTGGGTGGCACGACACTGTCCTCGTCGGGCCTCCTCAGGGCGCGGCGGAGAGCTCTGTCGAGGTCCTCGCCCGCCTCCCAGGGGTGCCCCTCAGGGTGCCCGTTGCAATCCGCACCCTCTGCACACCACACCCTTCGGAGTCGCCGAGAGTCCCCGAGATCGCTCCAGACTTGGCCTGTGCCCGAGCGCCTCTCCCGGATCTGTCTTAGGTCGGTCCAGGAGGTGAGGGGATCACGACGAACAGACCTCACTGGTGCGCTCGGGGTGAACGCTATGAGAGCATTCCGGAACGCTCTGGAACGGTTTATCCTCGTCCAAGCCCTGTCCGATCCTACCCCACCTCCCTCTTCTCCTCCTCCTCTTCCTCCTCCTCCTCCTCCTCTTCCTCCTCCTCCTCGCCCTCCTCCTCGCCCTCCTCCTCCCCCTCCCCCCCTCCTCCCCCTCCTCCCCCCCCTCCTCCTCCTCCTCCTCCTTTTCCTCCTCCTCCTCCTCCTCCTCCTCCTGCGCTTGGTAGCCACCTGCGGTGCCGAATCAGCGCCATCGGCGCGGCTTGCCTGGGCCAGCTCGTGCTCTCGGCCGCCCGGTCCGGCGGGCCGTTTATGTTTGTAGTGCGCCGCCTCTGGCACGGGCAGCCCTTGCAGCTTGCTCGATGTGGCTCGGCACCGCGCACCGAAATGGTCAAGTCTCTTATATTCATTTGGCCTGGCTTTCCTGCGCCTCCAGTGGTCCACATTCGTTTGCTCGCGCCACTGGAGGCCACTGGGAGCTACGGGAGGCCACTGGAGGCCATCGGAGGCCGCGGGGGGGACACTGGGGGAGACACTGGAGGCGGCTCTAGGCTTGCAGGGGGCCGCTGGGGTCCAATGGTGGCCATTGGAGGAGCCACTGCGGCCACTCAGGTGATTACGTAAGGCTCCCAGGAGCGTCTTCTGAGGAGAAGAGACCTGGGACATGTTGATCATCGGCTGCCCGCGTCCAAACAACAAGTTTTGAGGCGCGCCTGGCACATGGTACCAGCATGCCCTTTTGCGTCCCATCCTGGGGGGCTGGATTCATGTCGAATGAAGCCGCACCCCGGGAGAGGTCTGGGAAGTAGCAGTGCGGGCACCTATTCGAATGACCTTTGAAACAGCAGTTGGCGGCAATAAGCATGAACTACAACAGCATAGCAGCAGTGGACCAGTGTGACAATGGTAGGCCGATCAGCCCTGCGTGCGCCACGTGCTAACTACTGGCCAGTCCTTTGCCGAGCAGAGTGCAGACCAATAGCCGAGGAACGCTTGGAGGTGAGGGACGGGGGGAGAAAGACACCGATGCGGAGGAAGTTCGTACGAGCACTGCGGCCGCTACTGCCGCTCGCGCGGACTGCTGCAATGAGGACCACGGGGTGACTCTGGTTTCCGCACCGCTACCCAGATCCAGGTCGTGGAACCCATCCGTGGCCGAGACTCGCTGTGGCCAGGAAGGCACCTCGCTCCTTGTTCAGCATCCCTTGTGGTGGCACGATCGCTGTCTGGCCAGGGCGGGCGGAGGCCAAGGGACCTATAGGCCCCCTCGTGCGAGCACCACGGCGCACTACAGGCGAAGCGGAAGGCGCCCCGGCCCTGACGCAGCGCGACGAGCTCGGGGTCACGGTCTGGAGGCGGGGCGGCTTGATGCGTTGGCGCGGGAACGGCGCAGGCCCCCGACGTCGATATGTTTCACAGCGTCGGCCCCCGGGGGTCTCGACCCCTTCCCCGGGACATGACGAGCGAACACACCCCGCCCATGCCCATAGGTTTAAGTCGGGCCTGTCCCTCTACAGGAGGAATATTCAAACATACCAAAAATAGTATGGGGACGATGTTTTGATCATTGTTGGATATGTTGGGGGTATCTTTAATTTTTTGTTCTATATCCGCCTGTAGGGGGACGCGCCCGACTTAACTACAGGTGGGACGGATGCAGGCGATGGGTGCGCGTTGTAGGATTGGGGCCCCCGCTCGAAGGGGAGCCTCCCACGGGGTCCGACAACCCGCACCAATATTCGCCAGCCCTTCTCCCTCCGACACCCTAGTTATGGGTATAGGTGTGCGTTGCTCATTCTTCAATGTTTTCACAACGTGTCTCGAGTCATTCCCTGGGACATGTTTTTCATCCCGAGCCGTTTTTTGGCGGTCCCTGGGGCCCGGCGAGGGCCCCCAGACCCTGAAACTAGTATTAAAAACACGTCCGGTGCAAATCCTTTTCGCGACGCGAGACCATTTAGTTTTCGGCCTATAACTAGGGTCCCTCGCGGCCGTTCGGGACGAGCCAGGCACCCCAGGAACGCTCTCGGCGAGGCGCAGCTGCAGGAGAGCACCCGAAGGCGGGAAAACTTCAAATGAGCAGCGACAGCCTCCGAATGTCTTGCGAAAACATACGTGAACGACGGGCTGGCAGGTGGCGTGTGGGGGACAATACGCAGCCACCCGAAGTCCCAACCCTTTCCCGCGGCCGTTTTTGGGGTCCCGAGTCATGATCATGACGGTTCCGGGGCCCAGCGGGGGCAGAGGCAGAACAATGCTCGTCTGCTATGAAAGACAGCCGCCTTGTTTCTTTCAACACGTTGCAGACTTCGTCCCCACCACTCAGTACAGCGTTCCGTGTCCGCATTGGGAGCTCCACCGATCGCTCTGGTGGCCGCGTTCGCATGCGTCTTCTCCACCCCGTACAACGCTTCGTGGCCACATAGGGAGCTCCACCGAAGACTTCAGTGGCCGCGGCCGCATGGTGGGAGAGAGAGGTGGAGTACCTTGAGAACTACGTCGGCGACCACCTGCGCATCTCTGAGCGGGTGGTGGCCGCCTTCTGGTCGCGGGCGCCGGCGCTGTGCCACTGGGGCACCATGGTCGGCCTCCCTCGCTGTCTCGTGGGCTGCTGCTGCTCCTCCTTCTGCTGCCTAGGGAGGAGGAGGAGGAGGAGGAGGAGGAGGAGGAGGAGGACGAGGAGGAGGAGGAGGAGGAGGAAGAGGAGGACGAAGAGGAGGAAGAAAAGGAGGAGGAAGAGGCGGAGGACGAGAAGGAGGAGCAGGAGGACAGGACAGGACATCCGCATAAGGGGGTTCAATGTCAAAACGCCCACGCTGGTGCCTGACGCGCTTCTGGTAAAATTCCCTGCGATTGGTTGTGCAACGGCCCTGTCTTCTCACTAGGGCTGGCAGGTGGCATACCCCGTTGCTCAAGGAGTGAGCTCCGAGGTGGCCCCGTAAGAGAGGCTCGCTACCTTACGATTACGAGTCCCTGCGGGTCAGTGCGGGGGGAGCAGCTGGTGGCCCTTCCGCGTGCCCAAGGGGTGGGGACGCGCGGGCTTAGCAGCGCGCCCGAGCTAGGGGGGATGTTTCCCTCATTCATCTCCCTGCAGTAATGTACCTGTTGGCACTCAACAAAAACACCTCCCATGGCGAAGTCAGTGCAAGCCCTCTGTGTTTGCCCGTCCTGTTTGCCTAGAGTAGCACTCCGACATAACCTCGCTAATGCATCTTGGCTTTGGAGGAGGAGGAAGAGGAGGAGGAGCAGCAGGAGCAGGAGCAGGAGCAGGAGGAGGAGGAGGAGGAGGAGGAAGAGGAGGACGAGAAGGAGGAAAAGGAGGAGGAGGAGGAGGAAGACGAGGAGGAGGAGGATGAGGAGGAGGATGAGGAGGAGGAGGAGGAGTGGGAGGAGGAGGAGGGGGGCGGATGACGAGGAGTGAGCGGAGGAGGATGAGGTCAACGGAAGGGAGGAGGCGGATCTGGAGAGCAAGAGCCCCACGAGTTGGCAACCAGCCGCCGCAAGTCGAGCGACTGGCCTGAGGCGTCTAGCGGCTCCGCGGCGGGCCCCGGCCTTACGACGGCGACGCACGCACTGTGCAGCGCCAGTGCTTCCACTCCTCGACAGTCAGCGGGGCCGGCACTGCGACGCCTGATCCTTAGCGCTGCGGCTCGGGGTGCTGTGCCTGCCCGCAGGTTGTCCCTGTACAGCTTCTGCTTCGCATGGCCGGGGCAGGCGGCCCGTAGCCCCGCCAGGCGCGACTGCGAATGGCGCCCGCACCTGCTGCACCAGAGCCGCGGTCCCGTGCGCCCCAGGGCGTGGCCGCTGCCAGCAGCGAGGCGGGGGCCGAGGACGACTGGGAGGCGCGCTGCGGCATGGCCCCCGCAGCGGGCGTCTGCCAAGGCCGGGCGGCTCTGCGGCCGCACCTCGCACCGCAGGCACGCCCAGCCGCGAGCATCCCTTCGCGGGACGTGCCCGCGCCCCTCGCTGGCCACCAGCCGCAGGCGGACCTTTGGGGTGCGGTCGGCGCGCGGCGGCCGCGCCTGAACGTCAGGCCACCCTTTGTGCTCCTGAAGCACCCTGGTCGCGAGCTCCGCCTGGAAGCACCGGGCGAACGGTGCCTCGGCTGCCTCGGCCTTGCGTGCCTCGTGGGCGTAGGCATCAGGAGAGGAGGAGGATACAGTGGGGGAGAAGGAGGGGAACAGAAGCGAGGGAGGGCGCTCTGAGGGACTGCAGAGGACTCTTGTGGATCCTTGTCCTCCTCCTTCTACCTACCCCTCCGCCTCCTCCTCCTCCTCCTTCTCCTCCTCTTCCTCCTTCTCTTCCTCTTCCTCCTCCCACAGGACGTGCGCCTCTCCCCCTCCTCCTCCTCCTCCTCCTCCTCCTCCTTGTTCTCTCCCTCTTCCTCATCCTGGCTGCTGTTCGCCTGTGCCTGCAGCTTGACAGGCTGGCAGGCTCGAGCCTGGCGACTGAACGCGTCCGCAGTGGAAATGAAGCTTGTCCTCTCCAGCTCCAGATGCTGCTTCTCGCCCCCTCTTCATCTCCGTGCGCCGTGCCTCCCCTCTCCCCTCCGCCCCCTGCCCCTCGAAGGTTAACCTTTGCCTCGTGGGCGAGAGCCAGTGCGGCGCCAGCATGGACCCGGCGACCCAGGGAGGGAGGGGTGAGGAGCACAGCACGGCACCCATCAGGGTCCACGTCAATCCGATCCGGTTCTCGGGCCGAACGAGAGGGGGGGGGATTGGGAAAGGGGGGGTTCAGAAATCTCCTGAATGCAGCTGGTTTCGGCCCCGCCGCCGGGCCCATTCCTCGATACATGGGCGCCTCCCGGCGCCGGGACGCGCTGGGAAAATCAGCTACGTGAGCTGATTCTCTACCCTACCCTTTGCTATCCCCCCCTTTCATTCCCCTCGAGGTTCGATCCGACTCGATCTCGATTCCGCTCGACCGCCAGTGACTCAATTGTGACAGTGCCGTTGGCAGTGGGGGGGGCGGTGAAGAGGGTGTCCCCGCGACAGCCTGAAGGCCAGCAGTCCGAGATGGCCTGCCTCTTTGCCAAGATAGTTGCAGCGCGTGCGGTTTTCTTTTGGCGACACCTTCTTGGTGGTGGGTCGTGTCGTGGTTGGCGTGGTAGAAGATCAGGGGGGACAACTAACCCTGCGCCGATGATGCTCACACCATGGGGATAATAAAGTTCGCGGCCCCGGGGGGAGGATGACAGATTTCCCCGGCAAGTCGCATGTAGGCATGCACGGCGCACGGATGTAGGAGCACGAAGCTTGAGAAATATTCCTCGCTCTTGGTTCTGGCAAGGCCTTCCCTGTTGGGAGAGAAGAAGGGGAGGAGAAGGAGGAGGAGGAGGACGACGAGGAGACGGAGGAGGAGGATGAGGAGGATATTGCAAGAAAAATTAAAGCTCTGGACCAATCGAATTCTATTTTCAAATCTGGGAAATTCTTTGTAGTTTTCTACTCGCCGTGTAGAGCTCCTGGTTGCTGCTTGGGGGGTGGTAGTCAATCATGGCGATAAACAAGTTCTGTTGGGGCGCGGAGGTTGGAAGAAGGGGAGAGATAGAAGGCGATAGGGGAGATAAGGAATAGGAGGCATAGCTCACCGCGATATAGCAGGCATAGCACAAGGGCACCACATGGGGCCACGAACCGTGTGAGGGGTGTGCCAGAATGGGGGTCTACGAGAGGGTGATGATGAAAACGAAGAGTGCTGATGATGATGAGAATAAAGGATAATCAAAGTAAGATGGTTCTCTGTGCGATTCGTATTTTCCCTGGTGGTAATGAAGTTTGGCCTCGCCGCTTCGCCCGCCTATCAAATATAAGTATCCCATGCATAGCCATGACTCAGGGGTTAAGGGGTGGATGAGTTATTCTCGCGGGCATGCGGTTAGACACAGACACAAAAGAACGCGGATCCCCATGAAACTATGGGAACATATGGGCAACGGAGGGGGAGAGGAACATCCAGAATGTGTGGAAGCACACGGGCAATCCTGGGATTTGTGCCGATTCATTCGTGTCCCCCTGGGCCCCTCTTGGGCCCTCTTGGACCCCCCTTGGGGGGCCCTGGGCGCTCGTGGGTCGAGCTTGAGGGCCCCGAAGACCACCCTTGGGAGTTCCGGCATCAGTGGCACCGACCGACCGGGAGTTCGCCGGTGTCGGCCTGGGTCACTCTTCGTCCGGGGGCCCCCATGGGGGCCGCCACGCGCGCGCGAACTAGGTCATGCAATTCACCTGTTGCCCGAGATTTCAGCACACCTCTGGACTCTTGGGCCGGCGAGGTCGTGCCCCCCCTGGGGCCCTGCAGAAAAGAGCTGCGCCTCCAGGTGAGCCCGCGGCAGCGGCTGGCGCTCCTGTACATCATGGAGGCGGCGGTGCGCCGGGCCTGGGAGGACTTCCAGCAGAGCGAGCGCGCGAGCCAGAAGGAGGTCGCATTCGGCCGCTGCTCACATGGCGATAAAGAGACAATATCTAAGCTGTAGGCCTCCTGGACGGGGTCCGAGTTGATGGGGTCGGAGGATCACGCCGCATCGCCGATGCATCGGCGATGCGGCTCGATATGGAGCCCGATGTTCTCCACGCTGGCGTCGCCGATGCATCGCCGATGTCGCCGATGCATCTTTGATGCATTGGCGATGTATCGCCGATGTATCGGCGATGCGGCGCGATCCTCCGACTCTATCTACTCAGACCCCGTCTAGGAGGCCTCCAGATAAAGAGACAACCTCTAAGCTGGAGCAGTGGGTCTGGCGCTGATGCGGGGCGGGGGCGGTGAGAGGTTGGAGCGGGCTGGGGTTTGAGGTGGCCCAGCACTGGTTCCGACCAACAGGAAGGGCGGGGCGGTCAGGTTCGAGGTGCTTGCCTTCTTCTTGCCTTCGGGTGCCGTTTTCGGGCCCCGGGGCCGTCAAAGACGGTGAAAGTTTGCACCGAATAGCTAGGTCCCGTTTGCGCTCAACCGCAACTGCTGGGCTGAGGGAACCACCCCAGGCGCTCCCCCAAGGCCGACCCCGACCCGCCAGCGGTGATGACCTGTGCGCGGCACCCGACGCCGGGCGCGGCGCGCAGGCCATCACCGCTGGGGGGTCGGGGTCGGCCTCGGGGAGGGCGCCCGAGGCGGTTCCCTCGGCCCAGCGGTAGCGGTTGTCTCTCCTTCGCTCCTGAGTTGCTGCGCCGATCAGCGATCGAGAAGCCTGCCTCGCCTTCGCCTCGGCCCAGCGGTGCCGCAAGGCTTCTGGGGCTCGGATCGTTCTCCCAGGGCCTCTCGAGCGATGGGGTCCTCCAGGGTTCCAAGACCGTGCGGTGACGGACAGCGCGGTGAGGTGTCCTGTGATTTCGAGGGCACGGCGCAGTGTCTGTCCCCACACGGTTTTGGGACCCCCAGTGAGAAGTTCCCCCCCCTCTCATGGGCAGCGTTTGGGGGGGGGTAGGTTGAGGCGGGAGCTGCATCGACCCCCAATCGCACCTTGACCGTCGACAGAGGCCCGATAGCCCACCCCCGCCCAGGAGCGTGCGGATTCGCTGTCGGGGGCATATCGCCGATCCATCGGCAAGGTATAGCCGGTTCCAAGCCCCTTTGCCCGTTCCCCCTATCGTTCCTCGCCCCTCGCGTCACCCCTGGTGTACGCGCCGCTAGTTTTCCCAGGCCCCGGGGCCGTTCGCGCGGCGGTGTCCTCTGGGGTCCGCGCGCGAGGTTTGCCAGTGGAGTCATCGCGTCTCTTCGGTCGGGTACTCGTCTCGGCTGACAGGGATGGGGAGGGGGAGGGGGGAAGAGGGGGAGGGGGATGGGCAAGCTAGGCGCGCTCGCGTCATATCTGACATCCTACCCCTCCCTCCCATCCCTTACCATGGCGTAGATCCCCTCTCTACTCGCACAGTCGGATGTCGAGCAGGGCAATGATCCCGAAAGGGTACGCGATGCATTGTAGAGCACGGCATGGCATGGCGTAGAAGAGCACCGCAAAGCGTAGTATGTCACAGCATGGCGTGGCGTGGCGTAGTGAAGAATTGCATCACAAAGCTTTGCAACGCAAAGCATGGCATCGCACAGCGGCCCCGAACATACCATTGCATAGCATGGCGTTGCAGATCAAAGCGTAGCATGGCATAGCACGACGTGGCACTTAAGCACTGCATATCACAGCTTCAGCTGAAGGCATGGCATCGCGCAGCGGAACGCAACCTAGCATTGCATTGCATGCCGTGGCATGGCACGGGAAATTGCGCCAGCGCTGCAGCGGGAGCACGCTGAGCACGATTCGGAACGAGCGGGGCCCGAAAATGAGGCTGGCGCCTCAGCGAGAGCAGCATTTTGGAAAAAGAATGCAGGCGAAAACCCAACTCCAGGGAATCCTGTGTAAGAAAACAGTTCCCGGGGGGGGGGGGGGGGGGGCGAACACTCCCAACCCGTCATCAGGGGAAGGAAGAGAGTAGTATTCATATTGAGTAATTGTGGAGGGGAAGGGGAAGGAGGAAAAGGGGTGGAAGGAGAAGAGGAGGGAGGAGGACCTTCAGATCTGGGCCTCGTGAGGAGAACAGTTGACGTTTCTGGAGATTTTCTGCCTCTGGCCGCTCCCACAGGGTCCTGGGGCTGGGACTCAAAAACGACTCAGGATTGGACGGGGCTAGGACAAGGATAAATCCGTTACAGAGCATTCCTGAACGGTCTCAGAGCGTTCCGGACCGCTCTGAGAAGGCCGCAGCCCCCGAGATATTCTCCAGAACCGCCGGATCACAGAGATTCTCGATTGATCCTCACCCGACGTTATCCTCGTCCTGGCTTCGTCTTACAAAACCTCTGGGGGTGGACCGTCACCACGTCTGGCCTCCGGAGGCCTCGGCCCCTTTCCCAGACCAGCTTCTCATCTCGAGTCGCTTCCTGACGATCTCAGGGCTTGGTACAGTCAACCCGTGTCATAAGGACGCGCGAGAAGGATGTAAGGGCCTTGGAAGGCCATGTCAGCTTTTTGCGAGTGGGGCGCGGCCAGCGAAAACAGCCAAGGATGGGGCGAAGGGGAAGGATGCAAGGTAACCTTGGAAAGTCGCTCATCCTTATTATGCCGGCTGACTGTAAATGGCCACCCGAGGCTGAAAATGTCGAAGGCCGTCAAGTTCTTTCACAACGCGAGGGGGTCGCTGCTTGAGGGCCAAACATCTGCCCCACGACCCGTCCTGGCGAGGCGTTCCGACCGGAGGCGGGTCCAGCCGTGGCGAGGAGGAGCCTTGGCAAGAGGCCCCCGAGGGGCGAGACACTGTCTAAAAACATGATCCTTCTAGGACGCAGCTCCTGGGAGGTCAAGTTCAGTATCGTGGTCGAAGCCCTGCCCTAACCAGGCGCAAAGCAGTTGAATCCTGTTTATCCCGTTAAGTCCCGGCTAATCTGGCGTTGGCTTGAGCTCAACCTGGTTTCATCCGCCATCATGCCCCCTTGATCGGGCTTCATCGCCCTTGATCGTTCTCACGATGACCTCCCACGACTTTCCGAGAGTGCCAGCTCCACCCATACTCCAAATCCCTGATTCATCGAACCCCCTAGAAAACCGGACCCCCCTCCAAATGCGACCGATCATTCCGGACCCCTCATCGACGGGGTGCCTCAATGAACCGGACCCCCTGAGCTCCAATCCAAAGAAAGCGCCCTAGTAAGCGGGATCCCTCAGTTACAAAAACGGCGCCTTACAAACCGGACCTGGGTGACGATCAGTCAGGGATTTGGAGTAATACGATTCTGGCCAGGCCCATCCTCGGCCCCGGCTCGGTAGATAGGCCCTTCTCGCTTGGCCGAGGAGGCGTCTGCACCGATCCTGGGCCCAGGAGGGGCCTGGCAAGGACCGGTGTAGGGGTGAAGCTGGCCACTCTGGGAAACTCGCGGGAGGTCATCGCGGACCCGGGGGGCGATTCATAAGGGATTTGGAGCAATCCGATCGTTCTCGCGATGACCTCCCACGAGTGGATTGGAGCTCATTAAGGCCCCCCGTCGAAGGGGGGGGTCCAGAATATTGGGTCGTATTCGGAGGGGGGTCCGGTTTTTTCGGGGGGGGGTCGATGAAGAAGGGATTCGGTGTATGCAAAATTGGCGCGCTCCCAGGGCTGCCTCCTGAATCCTTGACGACGTCGACGACGACGCCGCCAGGGGGGGCCGAGGGGGCAGGTCGCCGCGGCCAAGCTGAACGACGCGTGCGCGAAGATCATCCCGGAGCTCCCGCGGCTGCTCGAGGTCTGTCGCCCGGACGCCCAGGAGAGCGTTCTCTTTGATCCCAGGCGATGACCGCCGTTGACGCCACGTTTCGCGCCAGCGCCGTGTGGGGATGTCCAGGAATATCCAGAGACAGCTCGGAGGTGCGCACGAATCGTGACATTAGTTACCTGTGGGGTGGGGTGGGGGCGACCCGTAACGGTCACCAACGCATGAAGTACGAAAACGCTCTCCAGCACACGCTGCTGTTCAGCCACACCTGCAAGATCCTGCTGGAGCTCGGCGGCGTTTGCTTCGGTTCGTTCCAGCTTCTGTTTCATAGCTTTTTGCATGCGTTCCGTCATCTTCTTCCCCTGACATCCTCCCATGGTGACAGCATCGGCACGCTTTTGCTCCTTCTCGGCCTCTGGTGGGGCCCTCACCCGGCCCCAGGACCGTCAAAGCACGACTCGGGATGAGACGCGGGCCCGGTGGAGGGGTCGGGACCTCTGGGGCCGCGGATCGAGAAAGACAGATCGGCGGATGTCCGGGGATGTCGCCACCGAAGCTGATACCCGTCCCTCGCATTGGCCCTCCTTCGTCGAGAAGAAAGGGACCCCTAGCCCGAATGACACAATGGAGTCGTAGCCTGACTTAGGTCCCCGTCGTCGCATGAGGGATGATCGATCTGGGCGGTCTGCATGGATACGTCTGCAGAAGATGCCCCGCATCTGTGATGGTTTTGGGCCCTCCTGCCTTAGGTGCCCTCCCAAAGGGTTAGGGGTGCTCTTATTGCTTACAGCGAGCGGCTCGAAGAAGGAACACTTGCTTTTCAGAAGGGGCTCGGTCGCTCCTCAGGCCTGCATGCGCTATTCATCGCCCCTCATGTGCTATCTATCATTTGTCGTTCCTTGTGCGTTATCCCTTGGCCTCGTTCCTGAACGAAGGATTGCAAAAAAACCCTTAGGATTGCAAAAACACCCTTCCTTGAACGAAGGATCCCTTTGCAATCCTTCGCTCAGGTTTTTGTTGCAATCCTTCGTTCCCTAGGTCAGGCCGACGACTGCCTCGCTCCTCGGCCAACCCTGGGAGGTCCAGGGCCTCGCCACGGGCGGCCTCGCCCCCGGGGATATACCCCCGGCCAGGGCTCGCGGCCCCGGGAGACGTCCCCTGCAGCCCCGGGAGGGGTCCCTGCTGTGCCCGAGCCAGGTCCCAAAGCCCCCGTGGTCGGCGTCGCACGGTTTTGGGACTCGGGTCGTTCTCCGAGGACGTCTCGGGCGACGGGGGCACCCGAGGTCCCAAAGCCCCCGTGGTCGGCGTCGCACGGTTTTGGGACTCGGGTCGTTCTCCGAGGACGTCTCGGGCGACGGGGGCACCCGAGGTCCCAAAGCCGTGCGGTGACGGACCGTGCGGTGAGGTCTCGGGGGAGTTCGAGGCCACCGCACGGTCTGTCGCCGCACCGTTTCCGGGGCTCCAAACATGTCCCCATCCCTGTGGTTGGCATCGCCGTATCTGGATGCTGATCTCGAGGCTTCCCTCGACTTCCGAGGGCGCATCCAGGAGATTGTCATCGCATTTGAGCTCGTTGACCTTCGGGGCGGAGGAGGAGGAGGAGGTAGTGGAAGAGGGGGATGCAGTAGAGGAGGAGGAGGAGGAGGAGGAGGAGGAGGAGGAGGAGGAGGAGGAGGGGGAGCAGGAGGAGGAGGAGGAGGAGGAGGAGGGGACGAGGAGGAGGAGGAGAGAGGATGAGGGGACGAGGAGGAGGGACGAGGAGGAGGAGGAGGAGGAGAAGGAGGAGGAGGAGGAGGAGGTGGAGGAGGAGCAGGAGGTGGAGGAGGAGGGAGGAGGAGGAGGAGGTGGAGGAGGAGGGACGAGGAGGAGGGGGGAGAAGGGGAAGGAGGAGGGGGAGGAGAAGGAGGAGGAAGAGGAGGAGAAGGAGGATGAGGAGGTAATGAATAGTAGAGCGTGATGACCATGATGAGATGAGATAAGATGAGATGAGACCAGGAAGCGAGTTGCATATGATCGCTCTATTGCACTCCTGGACTCGATGAGCCGCGCGGCAACGAAGAGCAGGAGGCCCACACGTGGAGCCAGCCGAGATGCTGGTGGAAACGACGAAAGCGACTGTGATATTGCCAGACAGATACCTCCACCATGAAGATGTTCACTCCTTCCAAGCCAAGCCCTCAAGAGCGACTACACATTGAATTCCGTGATGGAAGCGCCACGACTGATTAACCGAGGAAGATGAGTCTCACGCGGAGAACCTAGGCACGTGCGGAAACCGCGGCGCTTCATCCACATCGCAGGAAA